ACTGTGACTTCAAAGCCTTGAACCTCTTGATCAGTTTTGGTGCTGGCTGCTGTGACATCGCTCCCCCAGAGACCACAGTTAAGCACACTGCATGGGCCACAACCTCTGGTGCTGAAAGATTCAGCCACCACTTTACAGCCTGGTAAAAACAATGGTTTTCTGATATTAAAAAAGGGCAGAGTCACTTCTACAAAGGAGTGGAAACATGGTCTCATGGCACATTCACCTCCTGCTGTCTGGTCTGTGCAGTCTGAACCTGTTTTACAGAATGATGAATCTGAAGAATCTGGACCTCAACATTTTTTGAAGCCATGTGGGATCTTCTTGACAGAAAACAAAACAAAAGGCAGCTAATATCTGAAGAAGAGCTTTGAATGTCCTTCAAGTAATCTGAAGAATGATCCCTGTAGATAAAGATTCAATTTCAAGCTTGTTCCAATTATTCAATTGTTTTTGACTCATTTACTGTATTTACAGTAACAAATGTTTCAATGAAGTGCTGCTCGTATTTCCCTGTAAAAGATGATGAAATGAGGGGTGGATTCCTGAATCAAGGCTAGTGCTACCCTGAAATGAATCGCTGCGTTTGCTTGCACCACTATAAGGGTGATGTTGAAATATAGCTGATTATGTGTGCCAAAGCCTTTGGGTAAGATGATCCGTGAGAGGAAGAAGTGGCTCAATGAGAACGAAAAATGAAAAATGCATGAAATTATGGGTAATGTCCTTCACACTTCCACTCCTCAGTCTATCTCTCTCCCCTCAGTGTTTGTAGGCAGGAGGCTAAATGGATCTGCAGCTTTGAGGGAAGCGTTAATTCTCCAACAAAACAGACTCTAAACCCACAGAGAGAAGTGAACATTCATTCCAGCCAGACTGTGATTACCCACATGAGTTGTCACATCACGGTGGGTAATTTGCTAAATAAGAAGGTAACAGTGTGGCGACTTAAATCAAAGCCCATTAGCCTTTCTACCATTGAGTTGGCCTTTGTTTCTATAGTTGACACTTCCATGTCTTTATCTTGAGATGTGAATTATTCAATTCAATTCAGTTTTATTTATATAGCGCCAAATCACAACAACAGTCGCCTCAAGGCGCTTTATATTGTACAATTATTCAGGCAATAATTTAATTAACATAAAAGAGTATCACAGTTTAGGGACGATAAATCATTGTGGTTTTTATTTCAGTAAAACAAACGCTGTAGGATTTTGATACAAAATGACACTATCACCGATTACTTTATATTTACTGATTATATTAGAGTAAATACACCGTCTCCGGCTGCTGTGGTAGCTTTTGATGATTGACCTACTTACTAGACGCATCGTAAAAGGAGCCCACCTTGACCTTTATAAAGGGACTCTGGATTTGTGCTCAAATGTAAACCCTAAAGTAACACCCTGCAGTATATTAGTATATTAGTAACACAGACAGCTGTTTTCTTAATTCCACATTTGACCTTACTTTACACAGTAGACAATGCCCTTTTTAAAATCATAATTATCATCTGATTTATTTATTTAGTTTTTTGGTAGGGCAAAACATTATCTATTAAGCTTCACTGCCAACACTTTGTCAAAAAGATCTCCTTATCCTCCATAAATATCATCCAAGGGCACCTTTTACTAGACTGAGCACAAGAGATACACTTCATTTCTACATTGTGATTAATTTACGGTTAAAAGGTC